TTTTTCTACCCTTTATCTTGATCTCATCCAAAAATTGATGGCATATCCGAATAAGTAATGAGGATTCAAAATTATTTTTCTTTGACTCTCGCTCGAATATTTAATAAGTAATAACTTTATTTTTAATTTAATTTTCGCATTCAATAAACCTTTTAGTGTGTTTATTATTTTAAGAAAGAAATATAATATTAAAAATTATTCTGTCTGTAACATATATGCAAACACATACATATGCAAATTTGATTGGTTAAAATTTTTCTTACTCAATATGAAAGGAACTTTTTAAAGATATCTATGTTCGAGAATTTTATTAAAATTCGAACAAAATATTTAAAAAAATTAATCGATTTACAGTGATGATGAAACAATGATAATCCTGACAATGGATGAAACAAAAAAAAATCTTGAATTGATACTAATATAGCAAAGCGTATTTATTTTACAACGTTACTCGAAAACACAAATATAGAGATGGTACAATGAAAATGGTACACTTACGTGCGTCTGCCTGCGTATACATGACAAATATTGTTTTTTAATGATTATACGTGATTAAAAATTATAATCACCTACCAATCAATTAATCTACAACCTTCTTCTCCAATCACACACACAACACACAATTTATTTTGTGCCAATGTTTTTATTTAACAATAAATTAAATTTAATAGAAAGGCAAAAAAAAACCGAAACTAATTTCAAATTTTAACGTTTTAAAACCAAAGATGAATAAACCTAAGCAATAGACAAGAATGAAACAATCAATATTTTCCTCGGTAAACGCAAAAAAAATATTACGCAATTATTCATTTCAAAAAATCTACAATATGCTCGCCCGAATAATATATATTAATATAAAATTAACTATTTTTGGTGAGTTTTTAATTGTATCTTTTGATTAATAATTATATTAGTAAAGCTCGTTTTAAGAAAAAAAAAAATAGAGCAAACTATATTGTGCGCTTGGCAATTATTTTCTGAATTTAGTCAGTTCTATGACAGAATAAATTCCACCATACAAACTGATTTATTTCATTTCAAACCATACATGCGTAATGACTCTTTCTTTAAAATTTGTTTTAATCATTCTTCTTTCGAAGAAAAAGCAATACTTGGCAGGTTTATAGCAAATAACAATTTCATTAGATAAATGTAAACATCCATTATTTGACGTCCTAACCCCCCCCCCCCAATATAGAACTTATAACGTATTTATATTTCAATTATTTCTCTCACTACATTATTATAAATAAAGACTCGACTTGATTTTGATATTATAGATCCCGCGACATATTCAAATGTTTCAATTTAAAAATGTTAATTCTGATTATGTCTTTTTGGCGGTCACAATTAGTGGAGCGGCGTACTGATTTATCCTTTTTCGACCTGCAGAAATTAAAATAAATCTTAAAAAATAAAAATAAATTACATAATAAGTTGAAAAATATTTAAGACATTTCGTAATATGTTTGTGGATAAATATTATTGTTACTATTTGGGTAATTTTTTTTATAGAAAAATTTGACCATTCATATTTTCATATATATTCGAGATTTTTTCAATTGATAAGGAAAAAAACTAAATATAAAGAAGGTTATTAATAAAGATGATGTCCTTGGCATTTAAGGGTCTCATATACATATACATATGTGTTCGTATGCATTGAAATGGTTTATTAAAATCAAATTTATCAAATTTAGTTAAAATTTAAAATTTTTATTTTATTCAAACATAATTATTTAAGAAAATAAAATTATTTAGCGGATAATTCATTATTTGATTATTTATTTGGTAAAAAAAAAATTATCTCGTGTTTCAATGAAGTTTACTCGTGTAAAAAATGAAAACTTTTGATGTTTAAATATTTCTTTCCTTCAAATCTAAAAATGATTTGATAGATTTTGATAATAATAATAAAAAAAACAAAACTCTAAATTTATATTTGTAAATCAATGTAATCTAAAATTTCTAAAATTTATTTGATTGGTGTGTGTTTCCTCACTTTTAAAAAAAATAATAATTAAAAAATTTTTTTCCCATTCATCTCCTTCCCATACAAACTCCATTGACATTTCTCCCTTTTATATTACTTTATTAATTATTATATTTATTTATTTATTTTGTCCTCCAAATACACAAGCAAAACGCTTGTTAATTAAATGGTAATAATAAAGAATATTCTTGTTTGGTTTTCAAATGTCATTGATGATAACAAACAAATATTTGATCCATTCATTTACTTCTTTATTTTTTGATCGTGAAGAAGGAGTAGTAATTGATTTGTTTGGTGGTTCTAAAGTTTGAATTCGGTTTTAAATGTAATTGACTTTGGTTTATTTTGAGTTGAATGTGATTATGAATAAACCATACGTTGAATGTTAAATAAATAAGCGGTATATTACGTTCGTAATAACAGATTATAAACAGACAATAATAATAACAGTAAATAATTAACGGATTATTACATCGGTATAAAACATATATCTTTACTATGGATTTGATTGGAAATCACGATCATGAGTCTGATAACTTGATAACAATAAATTATAAAGATATTATTGCCTTTTATTTAATTTGTAAATGAATAAACAAAAGGATCGAGTTGATTGACTATCTGCCCATAGTTTATTATATTTTGTATTTTTTCTTTCATATGTTTGAGATATTTAATGATTCATTTGTAAAAGAATCACAAAATGTATGTTTTCTTCTAGGAAAAAAAAAAAAAAAGCAAAGGTCCAGACATAAAAATGTAATTTATTGATTTGTTGCACATTGTTCTCTTGTAAAGAAATTTTTTGGAGGGTTTCGTGATGCTTTCAGGATGAACCGAGCTTTTTTTTTGCTTTATTCGGCGCCAACCTTTATTTTTCCTTAAAAGAAAATAAGTAATTCTAAATTTTAATTAAAATCTTCTAAAGTTCCAATTATTAATAATAAAAATATTTTAAAGATAAATATTTGGTACTTTTGTAATGTATGTTTAGATATAGATAGTTAGCCCAATTAATAGTTTTTTACTGGTTGGTTGATTATCTCCCCCCAATTGCATCATGTAAATATTATTTCTTATATGACCAACCTACTTTCATAATTTCATGGGGGGATATAATTGGTAATGTAATTTGTTGTCGTCATCAACATTACAACCATAAATATAAGCCCCAGAAAATAATAACACAAAATATAAACTCTTATCAAATAGAACTCAATATAACTTCATTCATTATTATACAATAGCCAATCATGATCTACTCTGAATCTACCCGATTTATTCCAGTACCCAATAGCTTTGGGATTTGCACTACAGAATATTCAGTATAAGTTGCATGAACTCGTATGATTACACTACATTAACAATATTAGTTACACGACGGAACTTTCAACAACTGTTTTCCCATGTAGAGAGATAAAGCAAAAATCAATTTCTTTTGTAGACGCATAATAACTTATTCAGTTGATGACGAGAGATCTCAAGTAAAGCCTTTTAATATTTTCGATGCATCGATATCAGTCAACTATAAAAGATCCAAATTGCAATTTCGACAAAACTAGTGAGCTGTCAAAGTTTTTATTTAATGACTAATATTATAAATGTGTCGATTGTTTGCCATTTTGATACTATTTTAATTTATTTTACCATTTTGATATCATTTAATTTATTTTGATGACATTTTAATTTATGTTTTAAATGATACCTTTTAGATAAAAAAAGTTAGATTACATTAATATAACGAATGAATGATTGCAAACACAAAGAACTTAACTAGAACATTCGCATCAGATCATCATTAATCAATCCACAATAATTGCCTGCCGCCTAGCAAAAATTCTAATTAAAGAATTCGAAAAATTTAGAAACTTTATATACTAATACGTATATACACTATATCACCTTTATGAGTTTTTTCACCTCAACTAATTATAGTCAAGAGCCAGAAAATCAACCATAATACCAATAGGAATCAATCATATAAACTCTTAATCAAAATTTAAACAAATTACCTGAGGCTCGATGAGCCAATAAATTCTATAAAACGAAAATATAAGTTGCGGAAAGTAACTCTCACGGGCTAAAATTATGAAATTGCCAAAAAAACCATCGTAAGTAGCATATAATCCTAATAATATTTTCAATAATAACAGTTTGCACGTACATCTTTTTACGTGTGTTCAAAAAACTCAAGACCCCCCACAACATCTATAACGTATATGTTTACAGTTTTCATCCCCTTTTACATTCATATATTGATTCTCATTTAAGAAAAAGATAGAATACGGACACTAATTATTATATTGGAAAGAATTAAAAATGTTTAAAACAATGGCGATAATTGGTTAAATTTTGGCCCCTGCGATACATTAGTGCTAATAAAAAGAAACCCAATAAAATTTTATTATTTTTACAATAAAATATAATATAAATAAATTAATAAAAAAAATTCATAATAATTTTATTATTAACCCTGTTTATAATTTATTGTAAATTGAACAATGTAGCAAATTACACAGTATATTTTTTAAATCAAGATATAAATATTTATTTATTTACTTTTCGCGTGGTGGATGTTGTTATACTGTTTTTATATTGAGCTGCTTTTATTATTATTCAAATTTAAAATTGACATTAAAAAAAAAATCAGTATATAAACCCTCATCTTGCCACTTTCTTTTTCTTCTTTTCACGGATATGCTCATACTTTCGTAGATAATAATAATTGTAAAAGCAAAATTATCATATTTTAATAATACAATTAATTAAATATATATATATATATATTTAAAAAATCCATTTTTTTTTTATATTAATAAAAAGATACAAAATAAAACAATTTTTTATTTTTATTTTTATTTTTATAAATAAATTTTTCGATCTTTCTTTTTTATAAAAGAAAAGAAACCCAACTTTTTTCAAAACATAATAATTTTGCTAAAAAAATAATTTGTAAAATATGTTATTTACAAATATAATTTCTATTTTTAATCGCAAGTCTGTTATTATGCCTTATTATCATGATATTAATGGTGGAAATGTCGACAACCATGACCACAATAATACGACAAACCCAAAATTTTTAAAATCTAAATTTGACCAAAATATTGATTTTATAAATGAAAAATCTCCAATATACGACACCAACAATGGCGATTCTCGGGAGTTCAACGAAAAAATTCATCCTGTCAACAACAGCAATATTACTGTTGATACTAGTATTAAAAGTATCAGAAAATTAAATGCTAAGCGTAGCACGGGCAGTTTATTCAAATTATCGTTGAAACGTAATAATAGTAATATTTGGAATTCGTCAACAATGCCAGATCTAAACAATATAACAATAATAACACAACCTCCAAGTCCAATAGCAAATTCGGCTCAACTTTGGAAACAAGATCTTGATCCAAATGTTAAAGCTCAAATGAAAGCTGCTGAAATTCATCGACAAGTAATTATTCATGAAATAATTCGTACAGAAGATGAATATGTTAAGGATTTACGTTATTTTTTAGAGGTAATTATTATTGTATTATTGTATTATTGTTTGTTATTTATTATTTATTATTATTATAATAATTAATTATTATTTTTTTTTTTTTTACAATTAAAATTTTTTTTTCTTAAAATAGAACCATGCACCGAAAATTAGAGAATCGGGTGTAAAATTACCAGCAAGTCTCGAAAAAATATTTACGATACTGCCATATATATTTCTTTTACACTTAAACACATCGTTGGTATGTATATATCAATAATAATAATAATAAAAATATATATATATTTTCGAAAAATATAAATTTTTTTTAATTTTCTATTTTCTATTTCTTTTTAGCATCTTCTTTGTCTACAAGCAATAATGAAGCCAGTTATACCAAGTGTATCAAATGTACTTGGAGACATGTCCAAAGAACTAGAAGTATACGAATCATATTTAATTCATCATCAAATGGCAATAGCCGAATTAACAAATGCACGTAAAAAAAATAACAAGCTTGGACAAATTTTGAATCATTTGGATAAACAAGAATTGCCTACTGGTAAATACATGTCAGTAGAAAGTTTACTAGCCAAACCATTTCAACGTTTATGCAAATATCCATTATTAATTATGGTAAGTAGGAATAAAAATCTTTTTTTTTGGAAATTTATTTAAAAATTAATTAATTAATTAATTTCCCTTAATAAAAATAGACATTGTTGAAGGCTACTGAAAAATCGCACGAAGATTTCACATCATTAAATGATCTTTACGAACAAATGGATTGTGCAATTAAAGATCTTCAAGAACGTAAATCGGAATACGAACAATCAAAAGAATGCGAAGAATTCACAAAGAAATTTTATACTTTTAGGGTAAGTTTTTGTCGATTTCTTCTATCCTTCTAAATTTTGAATTTCGAATAAACAATAAATTAATAATTTTATTTTATTTATTTATTTTTAGCCATTAAAAAAAATGATGCACACATCTACCTCTTTTCTCAGAAAACATAATATTTCACCAAATTAAATATATTTTTTGTTAATGATTTTACCAGTTGGAAAAAATATTCTTTTGGCTAATTAATAATATATATATTTGCTTGTTGACTAGTTTTATCTTTTTGTACATTACTTTCCTTATTTTCTTCCTTCTTTCAATCACGCCTTCTATAATATGTATATAATACATACACACACACGCACACCAACACATAAACAAGCACACATATACACACCCTCGCACATAATAGTAAGCACACATACATTATACTATTAACTAGTGCTTTTTTATAATGGTAGAATATATACAAAAACTATAAATTGATTTTTTCCTTTCTTCTTTCCTCTTTTTCCCTGATAGATACACTCCATTAACTTGTAATATAGTGACATCTTTTATTTTGTTAAGTTTATTTTCTTTTAAAAAATTTTTTTTCAAAAAAAAAAAAAAAAAACATCTTTAGAAACAAATAGAAAAAAGAACATAAAAATTCAACACATAATACGTCGTCGTCGTCGTCGTTGTTGTTATCATCATCACCATCATCATCATCATCGTCGTCGTCGTCATCATCATCATCATCATCACGTTACTATTGTTAACTAATTCGAAATTACTAAACAAATTATTTTCTTCACGATATTTTAATGTAACACTTTCTTTTAATATTTCTTACAAAAAACCAACTTTTTTTAAAATACACATGTATAATTTTACATTCATTCATTTTACAGCACGCATGCATCATTTAATGTTTTAACTTTTAATAAAAATAAAAAAATAAAAAATAAAAAATAAATTACGTTTTTTAAATTTTCGAATTATTTCTATTTACATATTTAGAATTGGCAGTTAGCAGTTACCCGGTGAATTTTTGAATGATGTATACAAAATATGAAAATAATATATTATGAATAACATAAATATTAAGGAAATGATGCTTTTGAGCATATATATACATATACATTGCATTTGCATGTAAACAAACAGTACATAAACAAACATTGTGTTTTTATGATTTACGCTAAATTGACATTATTTTTTATACACGATTTGGTTGTACAATCTCTTTTCAATTTTTCCTTTTAAAGTAAATATTAATTAAAAAAAAAAATAAATATTAATTTTTTTCTTTAAATAGAAAATATATTAATTAATTCGATTACTTCCTCCTTTTGTCATTCGCTTGCTCGTATAGGTGATGTGCGGATGAATAATGTGCGCGTGGCCGAGCGGACGAATGAATTCATATGACGATTGGATTCATTAAATAAATGACCTTTTATAGATAAATAATATATATTAATTATTGTATTTTTTTTGCTAAAAAACTTTGTCTCATATTAATTATTGAATTTTAAATTTTTATTACTCAATTATATATTAATGATGTACATAACAATAACGTCCTGAAACTAAAAAAAGCAACGGAATTATATCTGAAACATTTTGTTTTTGATCCAGTTTGTTTATATTTTAATAAATGGGTGAATTGAATAAAATTAGGAAATTAATTGTGTTACAATATATTTATAAAAAAATTTACCAGTTTTTTAATATTATTCAAAAAATAAATGTTTCTTTGTCAATTAAAAAATTTTAACTAGTTATAATTACAAGCAAATATAACTAGCTGCCCCCCACACACAAGAAAATCTGTTTTAACACTTTATTGTTTTATAGATAATCTTATGATATGCACAAATTATATAGATTTAAAAAAAACATACATGTATTGCTATGTGATTATATTTATAACGGTACAATGGCAGTATTTTTTTTACAAATACCACGCAATACAATTATAGTATATATTTACATGGTACTAATGGTATAGTGATCGCTATTGGTTCACTCAAATTGTTCAATAACGATTAATTAATCAAATCACAATCTGAATCTTAATGAAATAGGAATTAATCAATGATTAATGTTAATGATTAATTATTTGGATATAAACTTCCAAATCATATGTTAAAAAAATTTTTTTTTAGAACTTTCGTTTGAAAAATCATTGCATCTTCATCATTTTAATAGCATTAATATTAACATTAGCACCATAAGTTACTTTTGAAATTATAGTTACGACGAACGAACGGTACCCTGATCAAAAATAATTATGTGAATATAAAGGCGTATATATATGTAAATATTTTTTTTGTTGTTATACAATCGATGAATTTGGCGTTTTGCTTCTCTAATTCTTTCCAACTGCATATGTATGATGAGATATTATATAATAATGTCATCTGCTAATATTTGATAATAATGTGCGTCGAAATGATTAAAGCAGTAAATTTACTGGCTTTTCACACGTGAGGCTTTGAAAAAAATATAGTTCTTCATTTTGCAATTTCTTACTCACCGTGTAACTCCCTGGAAATAAATAGCAATATCTAATCAATAATTAATCAATAATAATGATGATGATAATAAGGACAATTTTATATAATAACAACAACAATAATAACAACAACAACAATGACAACAACAACAACAACAATAACAGTAGTGGTGGTAATACGATCGATTGATATATTTGAAAAGTCGATGAAAGGTAATTGTTGCAACAAAAATTAAATAATTACACTTGCGCAAAATTTTTATTTTTAGAGTAACATTGTAGTGTTACATTTCACAGTTTTATGCCTATTCCTATTCTAGTTTAGGTTACTCGCTCAATTTTTTAAAAAAGGTTAATTTATATTTTAATTTGTAACAATTTTTTGGGACCCATTTTTATTTTTATTATTATTATCAGTCGCAGGGCATTGCAGATCAAATGTCACATTATAAGTGTTACACGAATAAAATTTTTGTCGTTCACCTCAAAAAAAAAATTCAATCATCATAAATTTTTTAGAGCCAGATTTGGGCTTCCTAACGACTAATGAAATAAGAGTCTAGCTTATTTATTATTATTCTACGCCAGGCTGCAAGGGTTGCTTTTTTCACATTTAAGAGTTTCTTCTAACTAACGCGCAGAATAAAGCAAATTCAACAGTAATAGTTGTGTCAAAATGTTCCTTACAAAGTCGTTTATAATCACTTGGAAGGTTGCATTGGAAAAATTTTGATTTTTATTATAAGAAATTGATTCATAATTATTTATAAACCAAATTTCAAAAATAATGTTACTAATGAATCAAAATTTATTATCTATTAATATATATTTATGAAGTTGAATTACAGTTTAACATGGCATGGAATATTAGTTAGTAATCACTTTATACTTAAAATGTATATATATATTTTCAAAAAAAAGATCAAAAAATTTTTTTTACCAGAAGGAAGACAATTTAGAAAAATAACTAACAATAATAATAAATCATATATACAACTAGAAACAAATGTAGAGAGGATCTATCATATCTATCTTTTTATTTAATTAATCAATATCCACATACACATCATTATGTATATTAATAGTTGCGTATAAAATATCCAATCTTTGTCACTTCACATTTGTTTCCTCCTTTTCCTGATATCATTATAATCAATCATTCCTATCATCATAAGAATAAAACATAATTTTAATATCTTTACAATAATATCTATATATTACTTTATTTTTTTAATTTATTAATTTTAAATAAATGATCTTACAAGGATAGAGTCTAATCCTTGTTGTTGTGACAAATGAATATGCCTTGCATGAAATCTCTTATTATATGTATCATAATTATAATAGGAAAAATAAATAGCACTTCATTTGAAATCCTATTTAAAGTAATACAGTCAAACCTCGATAAACCGAACTACTATAAACTGATTTTCGCTTTATTTTTAATAAAAATTATTTCATTAGGTCGAATTTTATTAATTATAACCTCCACCCTACTTGATAAACCGAACCTAACGTTTGATACAACGTAATAAAAATGCAACTTTCCAAGCCGAATATTTGTGAAAACCAGTTGATGATTATAAACTAGTTTTAAAATTCGTCTTATAATGATAAAATTTGGTTTACTCCACACCCAAGTCTTTCACAAATAAAATTTATTATTTTATACGTTTTTATTTGACTATTTCTGCGATTCACAAAAGTTCAGCTTGTCGAGGTTTGACTGTAGTATGAAAAACAAAAACAATAGGAAAAATAAATTTATACTTCAAATATCTTCATTTGAAATCCTATTTAAAGTAAATAGTATGAAAAACAATAGGAAAAATCAATAGCATTAAATTTACACTTGAAATATCTTCATTTGAAATCCTATTTAAAGTAATAGTATGAAAAACAATAATAATTAATAGCATTAAATTTACACTTCAAATATCTTCATTTGAAATCCTATTTAAAGTAATAGTATGAAAAACAATAATAAATTAATAACTATTGAAAAAAACCAAATCTGTTACGCGGATTTAAATTCTACCTAAAAAGCCTGAAATGAATATTACTTAACTATTGTATCTAATTTATTATCTCAAAAGTTAAAATGTGCATGTTACCCAATTTCATTATATATAACAAATGTCCAACTTCATGTCAAGATTTCTTAAAGTGTTATTTGTTTACCCTGACAAAAAAAATACATCAAAATAAAGGTTTTTTCATATATTTGTTATTTTTTATGATTCAAGCAACAATTGATTAAATCAGGCAAGTTTGTGCATGAAAGCGTGATTTTTTTCTTCATTTTTTCATATTCGAAAAATTTTATTAGTGGGTTACATTTGACCCCCTGTAGTTACGCAATGCCCCGCGCGACTAATAATAATACTATTATTAGTATTAGTTATTAATTATTATTATTAATTTTGGGCGTCCTCCGCCAATATTCGTGCAACTAAACACGCATTTCCGTGCTCAAAAATTTAAAACCAATTAGGTTTATTTGTTTACCTAATTTTTATTAATATCATATGGGCCAACTTTGGTCATAGTACTAGTGCAAGTAGTTTAAAGACTCAAATTTTGTTGTTCCTCAAAATATTTACAATCAGCCAATTTTTGTCATATGGGGCATGCTGCAACAAAATCAGACAAAGTGAACATTGGTATTACCAAGAATTTCAGGGATAAAAATTTAGTCATTTGTAATGTGATTATAATTAACAGTTTTATAATATCCCATTTGTTATCTTAAGTGATATATAGAATTATCCCTATATAAAAATAATAATATGAAACTCATTTACATCAGATCTACTATGGAACCCAAGAATTATAGTAAAACAGAAGTTTTTTGAAAGAAGAACAAGGTGAAAAAATTGCTCCTTACATTTTCAAAATAAATGATAAACACTTGAAGCTTATCTAAGAAAAGAAAGGATCACTTATGAAATTTACTAAGAAAGAAGAATATTAAATATTAAAAAAAGAAAACAAAATGAAAGTGTACTATTACCTCACAAAAGACAGAAATCCTTAGAAGAAAAATAATCTTATTATTACAATATTGATTTATTTATTTTTACTGAAGAAAGAAAATTCTCCTTTATGCAAATATAATCAATGATCATCTTATCAATCATTTGAGTTGTTTCAACGAATTCTACGTTTAAGGGTGTTTTATAAAACATCACCGATTCACTTAGTTTTCACAAATGCTTCAATAAAATATTTACAACATTTTCATCCATTATAACATTTTAAAAAATGCTTACTTTTAATAGTGAACTTTTTTGTGGATTGTTGATTGGACTCTTGCTTTGTTTTCTAACAATTATTTGACAAAAAGACTAAACTAAATCCAAACTTTTCATTCAGCAAAATAGCTCGTGAATTACTTGGAAGGAAAGTGTGTTGCTGCTTCCACAATAAAAAACTTCTACCAACGAAAAACAAACACTAGAAGGAAAAAAATAGAAGCAATTCAACAGTGGGTTGAAAAGGAAAAGAAGAAAAGAAGTGGCGAGTGAAATTGACGAAGATATTAAAAACAATGAAGATATAAATGTTAGTAATAATAACATTATTGATAATAATAGCTGTAGTAATAGTGAAAATCGAATTTTTGTCAGAGTGCTCAAATAATAGGTAATGCTTTGGGTCCGAGTATTTTCCTCCCATGCAAGTACTCTAACGATTTTTAAATTATATTTTTCTATTATTATTATTAATTGAATTAAAATATCTTTTTGTCGTTTAAATCATTGTCCGTAAAAATAAATTCCAAGTCATGTGCCCACTAATTTATCAGAATTGTAACAATTACGATCTAGATCAATAAATAAATTTTTTAAAAAAAAATTGATTTTAAATTTTCTTTAATTCAAAATAATGGCAACATATGAAAAAATAGAAAAAGAATTAAACGATACAAAAAGAGAATATGAAGAGGCAAAAGGTGAATTGAAGAAGTTCGAAGAAGGGGAGGACGATGGAATGTTGCTGAAGACGTTGAGAAGGAAGAGGAAAGAGCTTGACGAAGAAGACAAGGAGGAGAAGGCGAGGCTGGAGAAAAAAAAAGAAGGGTTGACGAAGAAGGTGGCCGATTGGGGAGAGCAGGTGATATTCTTACAAAAAAAATTAGCCGAATTTGAAGAAAAAGGTAATGAACAAATTGCATAAAAAAAAATTATTTTCCATTCATTCCATTTTGTTTATTTATTTGGCATACTTAAACTTTAGTTTGTACTCCTTTGTTTATTTTTGCTGCTGTTTCTTATTTGACACCGCAGAGAAAGGTGTTGATGTAAATACCATTTGTGTTTTTTCTTTTCATTTTAATTAAATATGGAACCTCATTCACCTCTTTCTAACCTAAATCATCTTGACAAAAATGCAAGGGCAATTGCACATCATGATTGAATCAATGGAATCAATGGAACGGAAAATGGAAGATTTAGAGTTTCAGGTGAAGAGAGTAAGGATCTCATTTGAAGCCTCAACAATCTCTACACAAGGTATGTAATGACACATGTTTATACAATTTTTTTTTTGTTGCTTACAAGCTTAAAATATCAATATTTACTAGAAATTGATAATGAAATGGATATTGGGAGATCTATTATGACAAATCCACATAATGTGATGTGCTTTCCTTTTGCTGTCAATATACAAGAATCTATCAACTATATAAGTATATCAAATTGTGCTCACAAAGGACGTTTCCATGATCCTCCTATTTCTAGTGCTGAAAAAGATTATCAAGAATATTTTAGACAACAATGTATACCTCTGACAGGTACACTTATGGTCCATGACACACACCTGATTCCCATCCTTGACAGGAGTAAGCCAGACTTTGTTGGAATAGCAAAAGATTTATCACTTGACCCTCTCAATGTCAGCCTGATCATAGAAATCAAACCATATAAACCAAACCAAACAACCTTCTCAAATGCCGATGTTGGACAGTTGGCCTTTTTTGCTTTAAAAATTTTTCAAATTCAACCAACACGTACTTTTGTCTATGGAATTCTTTCTGACTGTCATCATATTATGATACTGAAAGTGGAAAAGGTAAATGAAGAGATTATCTACCATCGCACTGCATGTGCAGTTCTTAAGTATGATAATTCAGGA